ATAAAACAATTTTTTAATTTATACGAATATATTTTAACACATATTATTGCATAATTTAAAATTGATTTTTATTCTATAAATTTTGTAGCTAAATACCTAACAATGTATCCTTTCTTTATCAATATAAAAGAATTTTTGTTTTATTCGGACAATGACAATTCTATTCAGTATTTAAATGGAAACATTCTATTCAATTAGTATTTAAAGGCTAATGATATTTCTATTCTGTTTCAAGGCAGCTTGCCTGACATAATGTATAGATTCTTGTAATAATGTAAACAAAATTTTTTTAAATAAATCAAACATGTTTATGATAGCTATAAAATAAGAATAAAGTTGTAGATATTTATTGAAAATCATGAAATAAAATATTATATATATATTATAAAAATAAAAAATATATGTATGGAAATAAATAATTATCATGTGATCAAATAAAACATATTTTTAATTTATGATGCATTATTTGTTAATTGAATTATTAAAATGATTACAACTTTTAAGCTTCTTACTATTTCCCTCGCAACTCCTCTTACGGTCAATTTAAGGAATATCATTATTTACCGTTTGCTATGACATTGCTATGCGTACATCTAGTACTATTCAGTGCTCCTGTACTTTTCTTAATTTTCCCGTTTCGCAATTTTTCTTCTTTGCATATAGCGATAATTTTAATTACCGTGATATTAAATTAAGAATTTAAAGAAAAAAATGAAAATAAAAGAAAGAGAATTGAGACTCGTGCATGTAGAAGTATTGGGATTAAATGCATCGGCTAATAAAACGAGCTGCGTTAATTTCTGAACAGATCCTCGCATTTGGCTCTTTTAAACCTCTTAAACGACTTTTATCGATCAATTTACAATTAAGTGTTTTCTTTATCTTACGTATGAGGATTATTATAATGAAGTCTTGTTACCATTTTTTTTTATAATCTTATTATTTACATGTCTTTTGTTTTTATTGTACGAGAATTTTTAAAATATATTCAAATAGTTGAATTAAAGAATTTTTAATTTAATTCTTATAATTTCACTTGCATTTAAATATACGTATGCTTTCGATATCTTAGCATAAATACAAAATATTTTTGATAATATTTATTATATTGATAATTTATCATGTTTTGAAGTAACAAGCGTATCTTTAGCTCTAGCTATTTTCGGACGCCTTCAAAGATCGTAATGCTCATACTATCTATCTTTTGTTTAGAGATGACTTTCAAGGGACCGATCGTTAGTATTAGATTGGATTGGAGTGGCCCTGTTAAATATTCGATCCAGCCATTTAAATAGATAGAAATAATTGGTTAAGCGCTAATTCGTAAGTGATAAGATTGCAATTGAGTAACATATGGAAAATAACATTATGATTTTTTACTCAGTCTAACGATCCTGGATTTGCTAGAAATTGGAAAAGTAAAAGGAATACAGTGTTTAACAAACAACTGCTTGATAATATATTTTCGTAACTTATTAGTGAATATTCGTTCCATAACACTGTTTTATTACGTAATTTCAGAAGGAGTTAAGAATAAAGAAACATAAATACAAAGGCCTTTGCATCCTCATTTTGTATGTGCTTCAAGTATATAAGAATTGCAGTGGATTTTGTAAAATGTAAATCAGATATAATTATTTCTTTGACAATAGATTAGCGTAGGTAGACACAAAGGCGAGCCCACGATGAATTGCACGTTGAACTCGGATAATCGCAGTTAATGTGTAAGCGAGGTCAGTTCAACAGATACGCGTCAAAACATATTCGTGCAGTTTGTTTTTATTTGTTTCTTTTTGGAAATGAAATAATATGCTTATTCTTACTCATGCTTGTTATAATTACTTTATTGAAAAACTTATATGACGATCATCATTATTTACGCACTTATAATAATATCGTTTTAAGTATATATATATATATATATCTCATACGGAATGTTACATTTTTAATTATATCTTCCATTAATTTTTTTTAATTATTCATTTAGTAGCTTATTAGTAAATTAATTTTTTTAATTTTCACTTAATAACTAAAGAAGGCAGAATGAGTTTATTGATTATGAATAAGAATATTTATTCATTTACATCAAAGGATCTATATAATTTTAAAAAGTAAAACATATGGATATAAAAAAAGTAAAAATAGTTTGCAAAATTTATTTATGCTAGAGAATTAAAAGATAATTTGTATCCTTGCTACTCAAATCTAAAATAATATTACCTATTCATCTATTCAATAATATCACCTATTCAAATCAATACAACTTTATCTTATTTATTAAAAGTTTAATTGTTAGTAATATTTATCAAAAGCACTCTAATTTTGAAGTTTCAAACTTCATATAGCGTTTATGTGTTGACAAAAGCACTACAGTCAATTACCCACTCATTAAACAGAATACACAAGTAAATTAAAAAGAACTTGTCTGTTCTTGGCTTATTGCAATTCAAGCAGGATTAGCTGGTAGCTTTGAGCATAGCAACTTGGGCCGGGTACAGGTGCAGCTACCAGCTTATTTAGGTGCCATAGGTGCATCAGCCATATTGCATCGAAAAGGGGATAAACAAAATGGGTGTATTTATTTTTAGACAGCGAATTAAGTCGGGTTATAGATTCATAAATTGTAACTTACGCAGTTGACCAGTTTGGTAAACAAAAAAATTTTTGTGTGTGAAGGGGGGGGGAGAAAAAATAAGAGTAGCAACGTATCCATTGCATGTGGGCGCCTTCAATATGGTGCAAAACCTGAGAGCTTCTTGAGGCTATCGTGGAATAAAGGGAAATTCAAGCTCTAAAGGATACGCCAGGAGGAGAGCGAGAGAGAGAGAGAGAGAGAGAGAGAGAGAGAGAGACGAAGTAGAAGGAAGGGAAGAGCGACGAGCATCAGTCTTGCTAGCGTAACATTACACGTTTAAATCCCTTGTGTAACTTGATTCGTAAATCGCAGACTCGGAGGTGCACCTCAGTGAATCTAGGAGATTCTACTAGATCAGGGATAGCTCAATGTGAATATGGGCAGTATATGCATCTATATTTATGCAAGGTAATTGAGCCTCTGATTAATGTTTTTCGTTCTTCATGTGCCTCTGCATTCACCGTTCCTTCGGGTCTTTAAGGCAAATTTTACAGTGCTCCGGTCGTTACAATAACGTGAATTTATGAATATTATTTATAATGTGCAATTAAAATGAGGCAACATTTGTTTTATTAAGTTAGTGCATACGAAGGCTTATTAGGCTACGTATATGCCAAATGTTAAATGCATGTGTGCATAACTCGACGTTTGATTTGAACATTTTAATGTACCTGTCAGAGATATTTTGTTATACTTTAATTGAATTACAGAATAATTTTTGTAAAGTTATTTTTTTGAAGATAACAATTCTTCTAAAAATTTATTCTTTGTTTTTATATGTAATTTATGAATATTTTACTTATTTTAATACTTTTTCAAAGGTCTTCAATGTTAATAACACGTATTGTTTATTTATACAAAAAATTGCTTTACATTACTAATAAAAGAATAGAAAAGATACTAGAGTTCAAATGAATTTGATTACAGTTTTTAGGGAAGTAAATACGGAAATATTTATGTTGTATTAAACTTATCAATAATTTTTATATGTTGAACATGATTCTTAAAGACTTATTACTAAGATATTATGATTATTAAAAGCGAATTAAAAAATTTACTGTTGAGTGAACAAACTTTCTATCCTTTTTGAAAGAGTATTTTACAGTATTTAATAACAAATGATGAACATTTTATTTTATTTTATTTTCATTATTTATGAATATGATAAAAATAAAATATTAATTTTCTAATATAATGAATAATAATAATAATATACTTATTAAATATTTTGGGTCTGATCAGATCAAATACATAGATTTAGGAAGAATTATTTTAGCGTTGGAAATTATCATTATTCTCTAACATCGTTGTCGTCGTTGTTGTCATAATTTTTATTATCATATTTGTCACCATCATCATCACCATCATCAGCAGCAGCATCATCATCAGTATCATCATCATTATTAGTATTATATTTTGTGTATTCGTATAAACATTTTAATGAAAAGATAATACGTAAAGAAAACGATTTTTTTTTTACTATAAATTAGTTTTTTTTTAATTATAATTTAGAATCTAATGTTTTTTATTGAAATTAATCAATTTCGAAAGAATAGTCATGAAATACATATTTAATATATCTATATAATTATCTAATAATATCGAATCATTTATTAAAAATGAAACTTTAATTATTATATTCATGTAAAATTCTATAATATTATTTTTATTATGGTGACAATAAAATTTTGAATTTATTCAATTTTTTTGAAGAGTAGAAAAATAATATTATTTTTGTAACATTCTTATTAAAATCACATTGTGCGCATAAAGCGAGATATACAAGTGCAAAGATTAATTGCAGTATGTGTATTAAAAATAAATAAAAAAATAAATAATAAATATAATACGTGAGATTTTTTATATTAATACGTAGGTTTTATCGCTAATTTCATCATAATGATTCGATGTAATATTGTCCATTTCCGTATTTATACGTATTTATCTTATGCACGTATAGTTATCATACAATAAGGCCTAGCGTAGGTAGTTCATTTGCACCAGAGAAATAGGACATCTAATAAAAGGATATATTAGCGCTTTAACAAAATTTCAAGGAGACAAAAAGCGAGAATAAACGTGCAACGAATTTTTGTAATCAATGTTAAATTGTCGTTTATTCCAAGATATTATTATTAAATGCCATGGGAGCATCCATCCTATCACAAACAAGTAATGCCTACGTTGCATAGAAAGTTAGGAATGCACCAAAAATCCCCGGCCTGTACTCGCGAGCAGTAGTCTATCAGAATACACCCATGCATCAACGTCCTACTTGCGCTTCAGGTTACTCCTGGCTAGGTAAGGACTAAGGAGGAAGAAAGCTGGACAGACCTGGACAAGTCAGACCAAAGTTTCAAATCACCTGTGTCTAGCAGCGAGCATGTTGTCCCTCTTCTCCTCCTAAGCTGGTGTCCCTCGCTGATACGAAAATCCCTATCGCGCGAACAATGGCCGTAGTCGTCGAAGGTCAGGGATGGGAGCGACAGAGAATGGCTTATCGGCGCTCGGGACAACGAGCCGGAGATAGCCAAGGGTAGAGTCTCTCGTCGTCTCCGTACAGCGACTGTCTCTTACAAGCCAAGCTCCCTACAATATACGTCTAAACGGCATTCCGCGTCTCTTCTGTGCCTATATTTACGCGGCGGTCCACGGCTGCACTCACATGTAGGCAAGCGGCGCGCTTTAGGTGCTGCAACGTCGAGGATATGCAGTCCGGAGTATTTATAGGAGGCTGAGAGTCACGCATGTTCGGGGAAAAGTTTTCGGACTCTTTAAACCTCTCGCTCTCTTCGACTCTCGACTCTCGACTCCTCCCAGCCCCGTGGCCGCACGCACTCTCGACCTTCTACAAGCTGCGATCCGCTAAGATCTTTGTACCAAAGAGTCCCCGATGCTCTTTTACCAGCCGGAATACAACTTTGCTTGGGATCTCCGCCTACCTAACCATAATTCCTGCGATTCTTCTCGATGATCTCGGCCAGTCGGACTTTTGCTTTTTAACGGCAAATCGCCTTGATACTTCCGGGACGATCCCGTACACTTGTGATCATTGCACCCATACAATGACGCCCCGGAAGTATCCGAGTCCGTAGCCATTTTTTCGCTGTTTTTATACTCCCTCGCCTCCTCCTTCCTCTTCCCTTCCACTCCAACCCCGCACTTTCGCCCATTTTTTGCCCATTTGTCTTTGTTTGCATATAAAGTCTGGTGTCTGGGTTGGACTATAATTTCTGTACCTATAATACCTGGTGGTATTATTCAAACCTGATATTATTGTTCATATACTAAATTCTAAATCTCTAACTTGAAATAATCATTGAAATACATAAATAACCTTTCTTTATTTGTTAATATAATTGCTTTGCTTTATTATATGACCTTAGTTTAATTATTCAAGAATTAATTAGACTCGTAGATTTTCTTCTAGATCCTTATGAAAGATAATCGTAAATGTTCCACAATTATCATAATTAGATAAACAATAAAATATTTATTACTTTATTTGATATTTTATCACTTTATTAAAACACTTTATAAATAGGTAAAATATTAAAATTAACAAAATTTTAAAATTTCAAAATTTTTCTACAAATGATTAAGGTCACTTTACACATTTATAAATTATTATTTTGCTGCTAATAAAAATTTGATGTGAATCATAATTGTTATATAAAAATTTCCTTCATATATGTATATATAAATTTTATAAAAAAATTAATACCATACCGTATTTATTGTATATATATAAAAAATTTTTAAATTTAAAAATTCTAATTAAAAAATCAATTTAATTTAAAAATTAAAATTAACATATTAGATGTTTGAAATTAGTATTTCATTATTAATTCATTTATTTTATATTTATGCTTAATTTCAAATTTTCAATTTTATGCTATAAATTTAAATATTATTTCTTATAATTCTATCTACATTTATTATGTATAAACCGGAAAAAGAAATATTAGTTTTTTTTCTTAGTGGATACATTAATCGTTAATATAATAATTTTCCTTAAAATATTGATATTGTTTGAAATTAATAGAAAATTATTCATTTTAAGGCGTTAGTAATCAATAATTAATTGGAATTAATTGTTTTACTATGTATTGATTTAATAATACATAAGCCTGATCCTTTTAATTAACTTATTTTTAAAATAATTGAAAATATATTAATAGAAAATTTGTTTGTAATCAATTATAATAATATATTCAATTATCTTATATTAGAACAAATCAAAATAATTTAATTTTTATATTAAAATAGATGTTCAATAGGATATTTTAGTCGCAATGAATGTTCTGTTTTAATTTTCTAAAATTATTTTGTACATTGGTATAACTGAGGTCTTCGTCCATTCTAGAGCGAAGGTAACTTCGTCATTACATTTCGAAGTCTTTAACATAATCATTTACGTTAATGATAAATTTTAGATTAACTAGTTTTGAGCTGGATAAATGCAATATTTTATGGAGAATTATATTTATTTTAGTGTGAGAAAAGTCAATAGTACATTATACTGATTTCATCATTCACGATATGTCAGCCAATGTCTTTATTTAAGTATTTTGTAACGCTTGTAGTTTAGTATTAATTTCATTGCATAAGTCATTAAATCACTGTATTTCTCGTGTGATTTATTTTATCTTACATTTATTTAAAGTAATTTTTTAACCAAGCATAACGTAGTTTGCATATGTGACCAAATGCAGGCGTACTGAACTGCAGCTTTGCATGCTAATCCTATTGTAAGGGATCCAACCAGAAACAATGATTAAAATAACTTGTGTTCTTAAATGGCCAAATTCATTTGACACTCATCCTATCACCTCGGCAATTTGTAAAAATTACCAGGATATTTATTTTTGATCTTTCTTTAATTCTACATTTTACGTTTCCGATTAATGTATCCCGACATTATATAGAATTGATCATAACTATTTCCTTATGATAATCTTAACAACTAATACTAGCGGAACGAATTTAAATGTATGCTACTTTTCTTTTTTTCAGGTAAATGATGATTTTTAAAATTAGTACGTTACTGTACTTGCATTTCTGAAATATTATATATAGATAAACACTCAAAAATTTGTCTAGCGTATTAGTAAAGTCTCTATTCCACCTACTGTAAAATTGAAATAAAAAAATCTAGTATTATTAACATAGGTTGTATCAATAAAATGGAATATGCCATAAACAAAAAGAAAAAACATGTGGGTATGTGCGTATATATATTATTTGAAATTACTCATGAAGAAGAATAAAATGGGGAAGCGATCGAATGAATAGAGAGATAAAAAAATTTTTTAAAAAATGGTCGTTACAAGTATTCATTGCGATAGAGTTTAATTGATTTTATCGATCCATTTGTAACAATGAGAATTGAGCAAGAAAAACTGTTTATTAGTGGCACGTTCAGAAATTTTCAACGTTGTCAATAGGGATCGGATGTAAGAAGTGGGACAGTGGACTGCAACTCGAGTCCGGGACCCGCATGACGCCATGACGCCATTCACGCTGGAAGTGATTTCACGCTCGACAGGAATCTTCGAACAGGATCTAGGCGAGGCGAGCGGCACGACCCACGATTGCCTCCGTTATAACGCTTTTATATTATTTGCGTTCCGCTCGGTGGTCCGTTCCCTCCTCTGTGATTCCTTCCGTTACGCGTGTCAAAGGGGTTTGTATATATCGGGGTAAAGCCGCTCCCCCCTTCCATTGTTGTTTCTTTGGCCTTTCTCAGCTTAGCCTGTACAATCGAACATCGAACGTGACCCCCTTCGTTCTTTTACGTTCCTTGAAATCGCGTCCGTTTATACACTTTAAGGTCGTCATTTGTGCACTTTAAACCGAATAATCGTATACCTTAATTTTTGACGATCGAACTTCGCATCGAGTCCAATCGAATCCAATTTTTCTCATTTGATTTCGTATCTTAACGTATTCTTATCTTTTTTTGCATATGTTTGAGGTATTACTGGGCTTTATTAAATTTCAATTTGTTGATAGTATTTTTGGATGGCTTAATCCGTTAAATTTAATAATATCTTACAGTAGTATAATATAGTATATATATCTCTGAGATCTGTTTGGAAGAAAACACATGTTATTGATTATAAAAAAGACATTTTTTTTAACGAACATCTATATTTTATGAATTTTTAATTTAATTAAGCATTTTTTTCTGCGAATAATAAAAAGTTTGATAACGGATGAAAGAAAATGATAAACGATGTCCTCTAACGAATATAATGACCAGCACAACTTCCTGATTCAAACAAACGCACCATGTATCATGCAAATGGTGTCCACATAATTTTCGACCTTAATTCCCTAAGCAGGAGAAGCTATTCAATCTCGACATTTACTAGCCAGCGTGTCCCGACACACCTTTAAACGAGACTAAACAAAACAGTGAAAATAGTGAAATGAATTTCGAAGGAAGCATGACATCAGCCAGCTTCATTAAATGTGCTTCTTACAGAAAAAAAATTGCTGATTACGGATAAAAAAAGAATATAATCATACGCTTTACCCCTTTTAACTCAAATAACAAAGAATTCTCAAAAAATAACGGCTGTTTTGGAATATAATTTTTTATTCAAATGATAAATGTGCTTTCGAATATTCATTATTATAAGATTCTCGCTATTATTAAAATTACTTCCAAGTCTTACAATAAAAGCCAAATTCATCTTTTAAAAGTGTTTTTATTTATATAATGATTGCACACATTATGATGAAAGAATAAGAAAGAAATAATAACTTTTTGAAATATTATTAGCACGAAATTCACGATGCTGAGAGATACTCAAATTTTCCTTTAGCCTTTAGAATATGTCCCTTGTGTGTTAACTACTAAACTTCAATAAGACTTATGTAGTATTTTAATTTAACGTCATCATTTTTTAGCCTTCAAAAGATAATACCCATTCGATTTGGTGTAAAAATCTCTCTTATATTAGAATAATGATTAAACAATTAGTTTGGCAATTGAATCCAAATAAGGGTTGTCTCGCTGCAATGTCTTTCTATTTTATTAAAATAGAGCATTAATGATAATTTCTTATAAAACTACAGCAAAGCATTATTCTTTATATAATTTCATTCACTTACCGGTGTTAGATGAGCTGCCTACATAACCCGGTTGCGAATCCCTAAGACTTAAGAAATTGATAAGAATGAAAGCTGAATGAGAATTGTGAGAGCGGATTTTGAGGTTCACCTGAAGAAGCACAGAGATATTTCAATTTCAAGTGTACGAAGGAGAGAAGCGTGAGAGTATTACGCCCAAGTACGTCTGCCTATGGTGTTATTGTGGTTAACGACTGGATGATAAAAAAGTACTGGGATTTTTTGCGGTGTGATTTACCTCAATGATCGTTGACATACTCATGTGAGTGCAATGTATCTTTCATTTTTTTAGTCGATCTGTCCTCCTCGGAAAAGAACACTTAACTAAAAATAAAGTTTTGTTCAAAATTAA